TCTGCAGTCTCCTTTGGGTGCCTTAGATCACTGCAGAAGCAAACTTGTATTTTAACCATCAGCAATGGGATGCCTCTAAATGTTCTTTGGAGCTACAGAGGACTGAAGGTCAGTTCATTCTGCCATTGCTGGTCATGTCAGTCTTTCTCTGCCAGCTTTGTCTCCTTAGTTCGCTGTTGGCAGTAATTGAAATCTCTGCACGCTGAAGCATAAAAAGAGGTCAGCTTCTTCTGCGGAAGGTAGTTGGACAACTTCCTTGCCAGGAGCAGGGCGCCTCCTAAGGCGAGATGTCCAGCGGGCTCTCCTTTTTCTTTTTATTCAAATGGGGGTTAGTGAGGTTTTAAACAAAAAGGTTCCAGGGGCTCATTCCTTGCAGTCGTAAAGTGGTTCTAGAGTTTCCTGCTTCCCAGCTGGTAGCTCCGCATAAGCCAGGTTGCTGGCAGATCCCAAGTGTCCCTTTCAGTTCTGAGACCAGGAGCTGTCCAACTTCATCCAGTGAAGGGTTGGGGTGTGCGTGTGTTTAAGGCTCTTGCTTTGGCAGTCTCTGGAAAGTCGGGGAGCCCTCTGCCTCTCCAGAGCCCTTTGCAGGGAATGTCCTTGGCTAATTGCAGCCCTCCACGCTTGCTGCCTTTGGAGGCTGGGCAATAAAACACTTGGCGGGCCGGGTATAGGGGAACGCCTTGTCATTGTGTCAGCTCAGCTTTTGCAAGGCTTTGCTTCCCTTTTCCACCATGACGACTACCTAGCTTTAAGTGGAGTGGCATCTTTTTACCCCCCCCCCCTTCCTGAGGAAGCTGAGGTTGGGGGATGCACAGGTATGTCGCTTTGATTCTACTAAGGGGAAAAGTGGGTTTGAACCGCAGGCTCATCTCTTCTGCTGGCAAGGGCAGGACTAGAATTCGTATCCTGTCTCTCCCCCCCCCCAAGCCTTCCTTGGGTATCTGAAGCAGCCCTCTAACCAAGTCCACCAAAGTTAGCAGCCTGCCTCTTCTGCCCTCCCCTGTCATTTGGAAAAAGAACCCACTTCTGTAAAGGTTTCCTGCTTCCTGGGCTCTTAGCTTTTGTTGCTCATGATGGGATACAATGCATTTGTTTTAACTTGTAAATCAGGCAAGGCTGTTGAGTTCCTTTACAAGGCTAGAGCTGTTTGTTTCTCCTTCCACATGGGTCAGTTTGGCTTGCCTCTTAATCCTTGCCACTTGCTCCCCGTAGTGAGAAGTCCAAGCCAAATGGCAGTTTCCGTATCCATTCCCCACCCTGGGTTGCCAAAGGCCCGAGAACACTTTGCATCCGTTGCAGAGTCTAAAAAGTGATTCACTGCTCAGTTGGCACCCTCTCTGCAGATTCGCTGGCTCATCGTCCCTCGTGCGGCCACTATTCTAACCTCTTCTGTTTTAGCACAATGCACTTGGATGCTGTCAGTGCTGCCGGCACATCCAGCTCTGCTGTTGAGGCACATTTGATCCTATGAAATGGCATAAAGGAAGGGAGGGCGATGTCCTCTGGGCCCTCTGACTTTGGTGGCCCTGCATTTCCAGTGAAGATGGTAGGACGAGTCTCTTTTTTGCCTGAGTAGCTGGCGTCCTTTTACTGGCATTTGCTGAGAGGGGACAGCCATGTTTTTGGCATTCCTTAGCTAGGTATTCTGCAGATTTCCTGATTTCCAGGGATGAAGCAGACCACAGAGGGCAGGTGTACCAAGCTATGGTTTGTGGTTGCCTCCCTGCAAACTGTTCAGGGTGTCTTCTCTTTTTCTCCTTTGCCTGCCCCTGTAAAGAGGTCGAGCCAACCTTACAGCTTAAAGCGATACCCAAGATGATAGGAGGAAGGTGGGGGTTATGTTTCACATCTTGTCTTGCTTGTTCCAGATTATGAGTCGGGTCCCTGAGATGGTTAGTGTGGTCTGTGTGCAGATATCCAAACCGCTAGAGAATCTCTTGCTTTAGGATCATGATGTCCACTGTATGGGAGCTGGCATTACCCTTTTAGGAGTTCTGTGGCACATGGCGTCTTCCCCCAGCCCCAAAGTGACATGAGTGCATGAAGAAAGAGATGCTCATAGGATAGCAGCAGCCCTCTGAGTCATGGGGTGCTTGTTGCTACCTCCTTGGTAGTTTATCAGTCAAGGAATCTCCCCTGAAGCCTAGAAGTAGAGCCTGCATCATGTGAACTGGAGAGTACAACTTGAAACTTCACTCTCCACCCCAGCCCCCATGCCACGTATCAGTAACCGGTGCAAATATGGAGAGCATGTAGGGTGGTGTGAAGGTGTTCTGCATTGTAGGGGTCTGGCGGAATGGCTGGTTCTTCCCCACGCTGCAGAGGGTTGGCCTGTCTGGGATTGTTTCCAGCATCGGCTCAAGGACGCGTGTCCAAACTCTTCCACAATATCACAGGATGGGGATTTTGCTGGTGTCTGTGAGGCTTGCTGAAGTTTTTGCCGCCTGCCGTAGGCTTCAGAAGTCATTCCGCACCAGGCGCCCTCAGTCTGTGGCTCGGGAAGAGTGCCCAGGGGTGTGAAGTCGTGTCCTGAGAAGGCTGCAAGCGGCCCAGAGTACAGGGTGTCCCCTTGAGCAGCATGGCTCTCTCGCTCTGGCAGCGCTTTTGCTTTCTCTTTTCCTGTCCCCCTCTGACATGCCAGCGGAGTCCTCCGCTCCGTTGTACTCCTCGCCTAGCTGAAATAGCGCTGAGCTGTCCTTCCTGTTGTTGAGCTTGCAGTACAATATGGGGAGGGGTGCGTGTGTGTAGTAAGAGAGATTGCCAAGAACTGGTGCCTTGAGTGTCAGCAATCTGGTAGATGATGCCTTTAGGAACTGAGGGCCCCAGGAACAGGGTTCTGGCCTGAGCTTCGAGCCTGCTGAAATCTTTGCGCTCTGCATTAGCAAACTGCTTCACGCTACCAGCCACCCTGTCCATTGCCACAATTCCGAGAGGGGTGTGTGGCTGTTGCTCCGTTTGAATAAGGCTTTGAGGCCCAGTTCTCCCATGTGCGTGAGAAGTAAGGAGGAATGATGGCATCTGGGGCCAGCAACGTCATGCTTACACAAATGGAGGTAGTCAGTCAGCAGCTCGAAGGCCTTGTCACAGATCAGTCCCTCCGAGAGGGGCAACCAGTTCCCCCGCCCAACTCCAGGCCAAGAGAGACCCCAGCTTTGTGTGTGAGAACAAAGGGCCGATCGCACTTGGATCCCGTCCAAAGGAATTCAGGGTTGAGTCCTAGGGGGCTTTCATTTTATCCCGGCAAGCCGTCCTGTGCGGTCGGTCCGCCTGAGACATTTGTGACTTACCAAAGGCCATTCTCTGGCATTTGCAAATAAGGGGTGGGTGGGGGGTGGGTGAACCCTTTGCTTCTCCAAATCAAGCTTTGTGCAGTTTGTGTGCGCGCGCGCGTGCGCACAAGTGCACGTGTCTGGAAGTCATGGTGACACACCATGTGGGGTTTGGACGTTTCACAGAGGTGGCTTGATTGCCTGCTTCTGCGTCCCAGCTCTGGTATTCCTTGGAGGTCTCCCTTCCAATTACTTGCCAGAGCCGGCCCTGCTTCGCTTCTGAGATCTGACGAGATCAGGCTTGCCCGGGCTATCCACGTCAGGGCAAGTTATGTGCAGTTCTGTTAGATGAGAAGAAATGAGCCTGCAAATCACAAGGCGACAAATTGTAGGGTGCAGGGGGGGGGCTGTCCTTTAGCTGGGCTTGGGACCTGGAAGAGGCTGCCGTTCCAGGCACTTCGATGCCTCCTGAGAGCCAGTTTGGTGTAGTGGTTAAGTGTGCGGACTCTAATCTGGGAGAACCGGGTTTGATTCCTCACTCCTCCACTTGCACCTGCTGATGTGACTGTGGGTCAGTCACAAGCTCTGGCACAGCTGTCCTTGAAAAAGAGCAGTTTGTGTCAGAGTTCTCTCAGCCCCACCCACCTCACAGGGTGCCTGTTGTGGGGAGGGGAAGGGAAAGGAGTTTGTAAGCCGCTCTGAGACTCCAAGTGAAGGGTGGGGTATAAATCCAATCTCCTCCTCCTCCTCCTGTTGGCCATAGGTAGAAGAAGGCCGAAATGAAAGAGGGAGTCCGTCCAAGCTTTTTACCAGTGGGCAGCAGTAAGACCATAGAGAGCAGCGGGGAGCTCGATATTTAGTTGAGCAACAAATAACCATGAGGTCTGTTTGTGTCTAAGTGCTGGAAATGACACTTCCTCCAGGAACGAAGTTTCCAAGGGTGTAGCCACATTGGTCTGCAGTTAGAACAAAGTGTGAGTCCAGTGGCACCTTTAAGGCAGACAAAGTTTTATTTAAGGTATGAGCTTTCACGTGCACCACAGTTCCTCAGATACATTGAAATGGAAGATAACACCTTGTGTATATAGACGCAGGGTGAACAGCAAAGTAGCACACAACATAATGAAGATGTTTTAACAGATGCAAAGACCAAACAAGAATAACAAGCTAAGTTTATATGGTCACCGTTTGTTTGGATTTAATTAGGCAGGGGGGGGGCACATAAATATGTCAAAATAGGAGACTGATGTGTAAATGTATCCTCCTTAATTGTGGGATGCTAACTTAGATCAGTTAACTGAGACCCTGCAGCAATGTTCCCTCTAAGCTGTGGAGTCTTGTGAGCAAAAAATCTACTTTGTGAGCTACTGGCATTAAAGCTGTGAGCAAGCGATTTGGCTAATGCATAAATTAGTTTGCTCTGAAGCCATCCTTCCTGAGCTGAGACAAAAATGTGTGAGCCGGAGGCTAAAAAACTGTGAGCTGGCTCACACTAACTCAGCTTAGAGGGAACACTGCCCTGCAGTTAGAACAGATTCGAGTCCAGTCCAGTAGCACCTTAGAGATCCAACAAGATTTGGGAGCTATGAGCTTTTGAGGGTCAAACCTCCTTTTGTCAGACAACAAATTAATAAATATCTGTTGCTTTTTCAGTGGTAGCTCCCGATGGCAGCTATGAGGTTTGGTTTGGTTCAGCCGCCTGTGTTATGTCCCTCTCTCCTCTTCCTCCAGGGAAATACAACTTCTACGGCGGTTGCGGCACAAAAATGTCATCCAGCTGGTCGATGTGTTGTACAACGAAGAGAAGCAGAAGATATATCCTTTCTCTGGTGTCTGGGGGGGGGGGGGTGGGGGGGCAACTTCTTCATGCACAAACCAGAATCCTGAATAAATGTAGAGTCCAGTGGGCACCTTTAAGACCAACAAAGTTTTATTCAAGGTATGAGCTTTCGTGTGCAAGGCACTCTTTTTCAAACACACTGGAAGGAAAGTAAGTTTCAAACTTATAGACGGGGGCTGAACAGCAAATAGACACATCACATGTTACATCCTGAATATTTTCCTGCTTCTAATATTGTGGTCTTCCACAATTAATGAAATTAGAGATCAGCCTGGGGAGATCACCATAGCAAACCACCCCTCCCTGATCTCTGTGCCTCATTTCAAAGGACTGGGCATAGTCTGACATTAGACCCGCCTCTCTCCCTGGCTTGATGAACGAGCTGTCTTTCTCTGACTTGATGGGCTAGAATTTTCTTCTGAGGGTCTCCACAGTACAGCATACATGTACAGTACAGCATACATGTGCCAGAGGACTCGAGAGAGGGGCAAAGCCACTGGCAACCACAGATAATGTCTTACTGCTGACCTCAATTAAAACCTTGGATTTAGCTGTGGTCAGAGTAAAGCAGCACCTCTCCCTCCCCAAATAGATTGCAAAGCAGCTCTGGTGGGGGGGGGGGTGGCGGCGGTGAACCAGGTCTCTGTCACATGACTTTAAAAAATCGTTTAGTACCTGCTGATTGTAACCTCAGAAGAACCAGACAGACGGGACCAGCCACATTGCCGGTTGCACCCTTCTTGTCACTGTCATTGGTCCAGAACGAGCAGCCTGAGAGGTGGAGGTATTGCGAGGGAAAAGAGGGATGGAGGAGGTAGCCTCTTGTGTTGGCTCTTGTCAGTGGTGCCCCCAGGGTTGCTGGCCCAATAGACGTGTTAGCTGGAATGCTGCCCTTCTGCTGGGCCTCCTCTCGTTTTCACTCCTTTTGAGTCTGTGTTGTGGTTCTCTTTGTGAAGTTTCTTTCTCTCCCCCCCCTTCCACATTAACTCTCTGAGGGCAAAGCCTAACATTTCTTTCTGCTAGTATAATTTCTAAGGAGTTGTTGCTTCTAGAATAACTTTTACAAAAGAAAACTGAACGGAGGAGCTTTGTCTCTTTGCCTTTCCCCACGTCTCATCCTTTCTGATAAGATCTACACCGCCCTTAGTTGGGCAGCGACATCCATCTGGTTTTCTCCCAAAGAACTGTCACGCCAAGTTGCCTTACTCCCATATCCAGACCCTTGGTCCCTCAAGTCAGAATCGTCTGCTCGACCTGGCAACGGCTCTCCAGGGTCTCAGGCAGAGGTCTTTCCCGTCACCTACCACCATGTCCCATTCCAACGGCTGGCTGGCTCAGGGCAAGCAGACAGGAGGCCGAGCGTCCTGTTCTTCTGAAATAATATTCTTGTGAGATCAAGAATAAGGAACTGTGGGCTTGTGCGCCCAAAGGAGGCCTTCTCTGTCCCTTTTCCTTTTGGCTTTGGGAGTATTCAGTCTATTCAGCTTGGTCCTTAAGGTCTTCTCTACAAGAGACAAAGCTAGAAGCTGCAAGCCGTGTAGCCAGTCCTGGCTGGCTTGGACTTCACAGTGAAGGGGGGCTTTTCCCTCCTCCCATCTGAGAGGAAGGCCCCAAAAGTCATTGCTATTGTCCCTGGTATTTGAGACATTTAAAATACCCCAGGTTTTCTTCAACATGGTGCAGGCCGCCGGAAGTCTTAAGACTGTTCTACCTCTAGGAATTGGCAGTAGCTTTCTTTTTAGTGTAGGTCAGGATAGGCAAAAACGCTGAAGCAGCAGGGAGTTGAAGGCCGAGGAGTTAGTCTGAGGATTCCGCACCTTACCTTAGACAGTGGATGCTTTCGTTTAAGACGGGTAGGGGGCTCCTCAATATTGTGATTGGCTCTGTCTCCCCCCCCCCAACATCTCACAAAATGACCACTGTAGAGCTGGGTCCAGCCAGTTTGGTGCAGTGGTTAGGAGCACGGACTCTAATCTGGGAGAACCGGGTTTGATTCCCCACTCCTCCACATGCAGCTGCTGGCGTGACCTTGGGTCCGTCACAAGTTCTCTGAGAGCTGTTCTCTCACAAGCAGTTCTCGAAAGAGCTCTCTCAGCCCCGCCTACCTCACAGGGTGTCTGTTGTGGAGAGGGGAAGGGGAAGGAGATTGTAAGCCGCTCTGAGACTCCTTCCAGTAGTGAAGGGCGAGGTATAAATCCAACCTCCTCTTCTTCTATTCCCTTTGGAGAAGAAATGCTCCTTGCTTCAGCTTCAGACAGGGGCCGTTAGGGAGAGATTGCAAGCTCAGAGGTACAAAAGAATGTCCCTCCTGAAGAATGACAAAAATGTAGGAAACCTCTGAATAACAGGAGAAAAGGGTATACTGCTAGGCACCAGAGGTCTGAGGGGAATTATAGAATAACTAGGGAAAAGCTCGTTGTGGAACTAAATACAACGGCCTCTAGAAAGAGGCTCTGGGCGGGTGCCCCGGCCTTGGACACTCAGTGTCAATTTGCTGTGGCGACCTCAGCAGGGTATAATGACACTGAGTCCACCATTTTCTCCAGAGGAACTGATTTCTGCTACCTAAAGAACAGTTGTAATTTTGAGTGATCTCCAGCCCTCACCTGGAGATTGGACGCATTTTACCTCAGAACAGCAAACAGTTTAGAATGTCAGAGGCAAAAGCCAATCAAGTCGCATATGCAAACGACCTCTGTGTTCCGAGGCAAAGACCAATGAGGCTGCATATGCAAATAACCTCTGTGTTCTGACTGGCTATGGGGGGGAGAGGAACAGCAAACTGTTTAGAATGTTGGAGGCAGGACTCAGGCAAAGCAGCCAGTGGATAGGCAGACCCTCTGAATGACAGATCAGAGAGCGAACCAATTCCGGAGCGTGTGGAATGTTCTAGAGAAGTGCCACCACCATTCGGCTTTTATTTATAAGGGAGATAGTAGAAAAAATATTGAAGGTGCATATATAATTCAAAAATTACAAAACTGTGAAGAAATGATTGTAATTACAATCATAATGCACCCACAATAGCAATAAATAGGAACAATATTAAGCTTTTTTACAAAGATGACAATTACAACTATATTGTATACATCTGCAGTGGCATATCCAAAAGAGTGAGCAAATTGGAAAAAAACATACTGCAAATTGGCATATCTATAATGAATTCACAAGCTAAATAAAGACACACAACAAGACAGGATGCCGGCTAAATTCCTGTTTTGATGTATGCATCTTCATCAGTCACGAACGACCTTGTGCAAGTTAATTTAGAAGACAGAAATTTGGAAGCGAATCGCTGGTACGCAGTATGATGTAACTTCAAAGAACAATTATTATGGCTTCAATCATCAGTGGTCATGAACGACCTTGCACTAGTAAATTTGGAAGCCAGAGACTCAAAAAACAAATTCGTGGTGCGTCGTACTGTGTAGCTTCAAAAACAAACCATGCCGCTCGTATCCAAAGGGCAACTTTCGTAAGCTGGTAAATTCATTATAGATATGCCAATTTGCAGTATGTTTTTTTTCCAATTTGCTTACTCTTTCGGATATGCTGGTGTAATTATATGTAATTGTAACTGTCATCATTGTAAAAAAACGGTCTTGATATTGTTCCTATTTATTGCTATTGTGGGCACATTATGATGTATTTTGTAATTACAATAATTTTTTCACTATTTTGTAATTTTTCAAATTATCTATGCACCTTCAAGATTCCTCCTACCATTATTACCCTCAGACTTCTGGTACCTAGTACCAGTGTTCCAGCTAAGCTGAGTTAGTGTGAGTTAGCTCACAGTTTTTGAGCCCCCAGCTCACACATTTTTGTCTTAGCTCAGGAAGGATGGCCCCAGAGCAAACCCATTTATGCAATAGCCAAATCACTCACAACTTTGATGCCAGTAGCTCACAAAGTTGAATTTTTGCTCACAAGACTCCACAGCTTAGAGGGAGCATTGCCTAGTTACCCCCCCCCCTTTTCTCTGTCTCGTCAGAGGGTAGCAGCCGTGTGGGTCTGCAGTCAAACAGCTGGATTCCCTTCGTCAGGGACAGAAGGAGCTTTGACTCTCAAAAGCTGATATCCAAAAAAAATCTTGCTTGTCTCTGAGGTGCTGCTGGACTTGTGTCTCCGTCCCTTGTGCTGCGATGCATGACTGAGGATCTCCCGTGAGGGAGGAGCCAAGTGCTTGGCCAGTCAGTCACCTGACAGAGGGCAACTGGAAGCACCCTGCTCTTTTCCTGCCCCATTCAAGACCCTTTTGGAATTTATCTCTGAGATTTAGGATAGGTGTTTATAAAGTTATGCACGGGGTGCAGAGAGCTGAGCAAGATAACTTTTTCTCCCTCTCCCAAAATACCAGAACTCGAGGGCATCCAGTGAAGCCGACGGGCAGCAAATTCGAGACGAATGAAAGGAAATGCTACTTCACCCAGGGAGTGATTAAAATGTGACGTTCGCTACCAGAGGGGGTAGTGACAGCCAAGGCATAGACAGCTTTAAAAGGGGATTAGACAGATTCATGGAGGGGAGGTCTATCGGTGGCTACTAGCCATGGCGACTAAAGGGGAGCCTCCACGTCCACAGGCAGTCAGCTTCTGAATCCCAGAGCCAGGAGGCAACCTCAGGGGAAGGCCTCGGCCTCTCTGCCCTGGTGCTGGCCCTCTGATTGGCCACTGTGTGAGACAGGATGCTGGACTAGATGGACTGCTAGTCTGATCCAGCAGGGCTTTTCTGATGTTCTTAAGTAGGAAGTAAAGGTAAAGGTTCCCTTGCTCGAAAGCCAGTCGAATCCGACTCTAGGGTTTCAAGCCGAAGAGCCAGCGCTGTCCAAAGACGTTCCCGTGGTCATGTGGCTGGCATGACTAAACACCAAGGTGCACAGGACGCTGTTACCTTCCCACCGAAGTGGTACCTATTTATCTACAAGTAGGAGGTAGGCAGCAGGAAATATATCTGCACCCACAGGCACCACATTGAGGATCGCTGAGCCAAAATCCTACTCAAGACAGAAGGGCTGATGGGAAGAGGAGAAGCTGACTCGCAGCAAGCAAAGCTAGTGGGCAAGTCCGAAGGCTTCAAGGAAGGGACTGAATTTTAAACACTGACTTGGAGCAGAATTGCAGACATGCATGTTGAAATGGTATGTGTGGAATCCCTTGCGAAGGCGCATTGGCAGATAGGTGAGAAGGGTGCTAAAGCCCAAGGCAATCAGTGCTCTGCAGAGGATATATCTGCATGCTGAGGGATGTTTACTCTGAGCGACGTTGCATATGAAGCAATCTTCCACTGAGTCATGATATTGGTGCTGCAAACTCGGTGCTGTCCTGTGACTGGCAACGACCAGTGCAGGGTCTCGGACAGAGGGAGGTATTTCCCAACAGCCTGCTGTCCTTTAACTGGAGAGTGAACTTGGGACCGTCTGCGTGGCTCCACCGCTGAGCCGTGGGCCCCCTTTCCCCCCAAGCCTGTCTTTGTCATTGGTGGGTGGGGGAAGGGTTAAGCTCCCTGCCTTCCCACCCCCCATCAACCTTGCAAGAAGAGCATAGGATTGAAAATACCCCCCCGGGCCCAAAATTCTAGGTCTACCCTTTAAAGTAAGCAGAGAATTGCGGGGTTGGTCTCAAAGTTGGGATGTTCCTCTAGTTTTTACAGAAAGCAGGAAGAAGGATTTCTCCTTGCTCTAGCCCCCCCCCCCCCCCCCCCCGTTTTGATGAAATCAGGGCTGTTTGGTGACCGGGTGTCTCCATTCTGGGGGAATCTCAAAGCCTGTTTCGATTGCCAGTGCATTTGGGACGGGAAAGCCTGAGACCTCTGAGAACTGCTGCCCAACTGAGGCTGCGGTCACACGGAGCATTAGCCACGCTACAGAGACGGAAGATAGGCGGATTTTCCGGGCACGATCTCACTGCCACATCTGGGAAGCGTAGAGCTCCCGTGGCTCACCTGAGGCTTCCCGCCGAAAATACGGGGCAAAAAACTAGTACCTCCGAGGAACTAGTTTCCGGAAACCGCGGGGCAAGGGCGGGCGTCTGATCGCGTCTCCGGTGGCATCCGGCACCCGCCCATGTCCCCTCGCAAACAGGTCATTTTTCCCCCCCAAGGCTCCACGGATGCGCACAAGC